AACCAGCATATCTGGAATCAGTGACAGAGAGCGACTGGGACCAGAAGTTTATTAATTTCTCCCCACTGATTTCCATTCAAAATGTTTTCGATCCCACCGGGCTCTAGGGAATGGGCGGGCATACCGCCACCTACTGTTCATGAGTGTGTAGCAACATTGTTTTACATCTATTAAATTCTATTTTTTTATTTTGTATTCTGAAGATAAATAAATAATGCTTTCCTTAATCTATAAATATCTTTTATATTTCCTTTATTTCCCAATAATCCTTTAAGACTCCATTCTTGGCCTGTCCTCTTTTCAATTTCTTCCTTTCAGGTTCATATGTTTTGCAGTTCATCAATACATCTGCATTTTCTCTCTCCACATCCTTCTCATTTATCATTATTTTTCCTCCCTATTAAGTATAAATTGTCATTTAAATAAGTATGACCTACTCTTAATCTGATCATTATTATTTCTTCCCTTCGGTTTCTCTCATTAATATTTCTATTTAATACTGACTTTTGTACTTTATATAACCTTCTTCATTTTTATCTTCATTCCACCTTTTTTTTTTTTGCCATTTTTCAATTTCTTTCCTCTTAATAAATGATTTTCCTTCCCCTTTCCCTAAAGGAATTGTAATTGTAAAACTACATTTTCCCACTTTGACCTTTTAAGGTTAGCATATTGACCAAAAGCTGACACCAAAAATAAAGCAATCGATTATTTACAACAATATGCTACATTTAATGAAGACTAATACAGATTTTACTCCCTTATAAGAGTTTAGTTTTAGGTTTTATAGGGGAGAGTTTGTATCGGCAGTCATCTGGGAATCTTTTATGTATTTACTGGTAAAGAATATGCTGATGAAGGTTCTCAGTCATCCAGGTCAAAGTCATTCCGTAAAAATTTCTTTTGATATTTTTTCCGGTAGATTTCCAAATAAATGGGACGGTAGATTTCCAAATAAATGTTTTTGATATTTTTTGAATTTTTACGGAATACTGGTAAAGAACAACCTCTCAACCAATTTAATGTAAATGTTGCGTCGAACCAGAAAGTTATTTGAAGAGCATAGATGCATAAATATGTGCATAGCTTTAACAAGGGCCTCATGAAGGTCTGTCATGTTATTCTCTTTTGGAGAATATAGACATTGTGGGCATTCATTTCCCTGATAAGCTGGTGAAGATTCTTAGACATCCAGGTCATAATCATTCCAAAAAAAAAAAAAAAAAAACTTTGGACTTTGTTTTTCAAGTTTGAAGACTTCCCATTCAGGACGTTTTTCAATTCAAAATTACAGTAGCCCAACAAATCCTTGTTTTGGCTAAGAAAATATGCAAATTGAACCTGATGCCTGATCCCAATAGCTTGACTCTGAACCGAATTTGATCCCTATTACTTTTTGGCCACATGCACATTATTGTGCTGCCTGGTCAACCCTATGAAAATGTTCTGGAACTGCCACTGAACTGACACCCAATGCATGGAGGGTAACCCAAAAAGGGCCATTGTTAGAGAAACTGGGTGCCTACAAAGTGCTGTTTTCAAGCTAATTAATGGAAAGTTAGGTGGAATGAAAAGTAGACAAATAACAATTACAATTCCTTTAGGGAAAGGGGAAGGAAAATCATTTATTAAGAGGAAAGAAATTGAAAAATGGCAAAAAAAAAAAAAAAGGTGGAATGAAGATAAAAATGAAGAAGGTTATATAAAGTACAAAAGTCAGTATTAAATAGAAATATTAATGAGAGAAACCGAAGGGAAGAAATAATAATGATCAGATTAAGAGTAGGTCATACTTATTTAAATGACAATTTATACTTAATAGGGAGGAAAAATAATGATAAATGTGAAGGATTTGGAGAGATAGAAAATATAGAACACGTATTGATGAACTTTAAAACATCTGGACCTGAAAGGAAGAAATTGAAAAGAGGACAGGCCAAGAATGGAGTCTTAAAGGATTATTGGGAAATAAAGGAAATATAAAAGATATTTATAGATTAAGGAAAGCATTATTTATTTATCTTCAGAATACAAAATAAAAAAATAGAATTTAATAGATGTAAAACAATGTTGCTACACACTCATGAACAGTAGGTGGCGGTATGCCCGCCCATTCCCTAGAGCCCGGTGGGATCGAAAACATTTTGAATGGAAATCAGTGGGGAGAAATTAATAAACTTCTGGTCCCAGTCGCTCTCTGTCACTGATTCCAGATATGCTGGTTGTGTATTTAAATTGTTTTTTGTTTTTTTTAGTTCCTCTTTGGTCAAAATCTGGTCAAAACCCATCAATGAGATCGCACCAAACAGGAAGTTAATTGCACAAAGGATCCGGTAGATTTCCAAATAAAACACATCCGATCTTAACCCATGATCCTTTTTTAAAACTAGTTTAATTAGTTTCTCCCGTATGCCAAGACGTAATGCATTGATCTGAAAATCCACCTCAGACGCAACGCACGCAGTGGCGAGGGTTTGATCCGTCAGATGGAGTTAAATCACAAAGAATTCAATGTTGAATCGGGGCGGCAGCTAAATGCTAGGCGATGGGTAGCAGCCTAAACGTTGCAATTTCACATAATCCTGACGAGATCCGAAAAAACCGTAGCAAAGACTAGCAAGCGGGTGATTATGTATGCTCTCTGTCATTGATTCCAGATATGCTAGTTGTGTATTTAAATTGTTTTTTGTTTTTTTTTTTAGTTCCTCTTTGGTCAAAATCTGGTCAAAACCCATCAATGAGATCGCACCAAACAGGAAGTTAATTGCACAAAGGATCCGGTAGATTTCCAAATAAAATACATCCGATCTTAACCCATGATCCTTTTTTTTAACTAGTTTAATTAGTTTCTCCCGTATGCCACGACGTATTGCATTGATCTGAAAATCAACCTCAGACGCAACGCACGCAGTGGCGAGGGTTTGATCCGTCAGATGGAGTTAAATCAGAAAGAATTTATAGTTGAATCGGGGCGGCAGCTAAATGCTAGGCTATGGGTAGCAGCCTAAACGTTGCAATTTCACATAATCCTGACGAGATCCGAAAAAACCGTAGCAAAAACTAGCAAGCGGGTGATTATGTATGCTCTCTGTCATTGATTCCAGATATGCTGGTTGTGTATTTAAATTTTTTTTTTTTTAGTTCCTCTTTGGTCAAAATCTGGTCAAAACCCATCAATGAGATCGCACCAAACAGGAAGTTAATTGCACAAAGGATCCGGTAGATTTCCAAATAAAACACATCCGATCTTAACCCATGATCCTTTTTTTAACTAGTTTAATTAGTTTCTCCCGTATGCCACGACGTAATGCATTGATCTGAAAATCAACCTCAGACGCAACGCACGCAGTGGCGAGGGTTTGATCCGTCAGATGGAGTTAAATCAGAAAGAATTTATAGTTGAATCGGGGCGGCAGCTAAATGCTAGGCGTTGGGTAGCAGCCAAAACGTAGCAATTTCACATAATCCTGACGAGATCCGAAAAACCGTAGCAAAGACTAACAAGCGGGTGATTATGTATGTTCACTAAGTAAATATTATGTAAATAAACCCTACACTTCTCGCTATAAATGTAATCAAAACCCATTTAAATGCAGAAACTGATTGAAATTATTGATTTTCCCACTAAAAGTTAGAGAAATCTCAGCCATGTTTATACCAAAATGTTACAGTTTCACATTATCTTGAAAAATCTTTGCAAGAAACGAACAAGCAAGTGAATATGTACATTCCCTGAGTAAATATTCTGGCAGCAAACTATACATTTCTCACTAGAAATGTAATCAAAACTCATTTTAATGCAAAAACAAACTCAAGTTATTAATCTTTCCACAAAAAAATGAGCGAATGTCGGCCATCTATATATATTTTTTTCTTCTCCCAGCTGGAATCTTGAAAGTCACGTGACTAGGACGTAAAACAATAGAAAACGTATAGGCAGAAGAAACGTAACAGTACCACAAAAAAATGGCCATTAATGTACCTCCACTACGTTTTGCAGTGTGGACCAACGTAGTGGGGGTACATTTTCCCATGAGACTGGGTTGGTTAAATCATCCAAGCTATATTTGAAAATATCTGCTACTGAACGAAGAATGTAAAGGATAAATTTTGATACAGATGTTTTCAGCAGAACCTGAATATCCCTGTATGTTTCTGAAATTGCATATAATTTGGGTAAATAAAGGCTTTGTTGCACATACAGTATACCTTGACTCCATCAAGTTTTTTCATTTTTTTTTTATATACACACATTTAAAAGCTGGGTGGCACAGAATTGTGGAGAATTTGATGAACTCAAAGTCACTTCTAATCTCCCATTAGTCGTTCATATGTGACTTATGTGACATATGTGACTTAGAAAAGTCAGATAGGGGCCCAGCCTGAGTGTCCAAATTTGTTTCAAATAGCATGACCTAATTGCCTGACCCCCCAAAAGATTAGAATTAGGGCAAGTTTGCCTATAGGGTGAATTACCTCTGATTTGGCCACAGATGTCTGTTCATCCACAACTAATTTTTTTATGACTCAATCATTAAGTTGTTTATTCAGCCAATAATTTATTCATTAATTTGTGCTTATTTGATCAATGGCACCACATAATCATTGTTACAAGGTAACCAATGATGTTAATAATAATATTTTAACTTTGTTGGTCTCACATTGGAGAAATATACCTCTGCATTTAACCCAGTGGGTTGCCATTGTGCAGCACCTGGGGAGCCATACACTTACAAATTTCTCAGAGCACAAACACACTTCTGTGACCCACTAGACCAACACTCCTCTAATTATTAAGACCTTATCACTAATTGCAATTTTACAAACCCTGTGTAGGGTTGAGAGCCTACAATAAAAAAATACAAAATAAAAAGCTTCTAAGACATTTAATGAAAAGGCTTGTAATTTTTAAACATACCACATTTAAAGCTTAAACCAAAACACATTTTTAAGAAGTATTACAATTACAATCTTTTATTAAACCTTTGGAATTCCTGATAACGTGATGAATCTCCTTGTGTCTTTTCATTCACAGTTTGGGTTTTAATGTACCTGTTGGGGAGATGTTGGTTCAGTAGATAAGGGTTTCTCCTGTAACTACTGCGTTGCCGGTTTGATGTCCCACTACATCTGTCTTGATCATTGTGCCCTTAGAAAAGCCTCTAAACCAACCCTGTGTGCTGTTGGTGTGCAGTGGGTCCAGATGACTTGGCAGTCTCTCTTCCAGCGATGCTTGTAGATGTATTGTATTACATTCACAAAAGATCATGAACAGTTTTTTTACACACACACACATTCACATAAACAATGTTCAACTGTGAAAATGACAGAAAATAGTTAATATAACTACAGTCAAACCTCTATGGCATGGATATTTTAGCTAAGTATATCTGGGACATATCTTGTAACAGTTACAATAAGTGCACATCAAGTAAAAGGGCTACTTAACTCCAACTTTATAAAATAATTGTCTTAAGTGTTTATAAATTTCTTTGATTTTCAGTCCATATATGATTGGATTAAAAAGAGGATTACACATCATCATTTGCACTGTCATCACAAAACGTACTGTCTTTGAAATATTAGATTCCAGTCTAACAATAATCATGTCATAAGTAATCAAGCAAGAATAGTTGATTAAAACCAGCAAGTGAGGCAAACACGTCTGTGCAGCTTTTCTCCTAACTTCCCTGCAACTTCTACTGGCCACAATAATTATCACTGTGTAGGTGAATAGTATGAAAAGCATTGGGAAAAGAGCAAGGTTGAATAGAACAACAAGGCCATATGTCATCAATGCTTTCGAAGCCACACAGAAAAGATAATTGACTGAATTGTTACAGAAAATGGCTTTCAAACTAAAGCTACAGAGCATGGCGTTTGCTCTTCCAATGACAGGCACAACAGTATGACAAGGAGGTACAAACCAGGCCAGAAGAAGAAAAATAATAACAGTTCTTTTCGTCATGATTGAATGATAATGCAGAGGTTTACATATGGACACATATCTGTCAAAAGCCATGGCTGCTAACAGCAAATATTCTGAACAGCTTGAAGAGTAAAAAGAAAACACTTGCATGAGACAAAACTGATAAGACACAATTTGTTTCTCAGATAGGAAATCGGTCAAAAGCTTTGGGTAGATAACAGTACTGAAAATAATGGAATTGATTAACAAAGAAGCAATAAACATATACATAGGCTCATGCAGGTTTTTGTGAATAACAATAAGATATACAATAGTGGAATTACAGGACAGAATTAAAATGTAACCTGTCAACATGATTAAGAAATAAAGATACCTATATTTCTGTAACTCTACATGGCCATCAAGACTAATATATGTTATATTCATAGTATCAACAAGTAGAATAAACTGTTCTATATAGAAAATTGGCAAAGCCTTTCAGACAGACAAGCATTCGCCTTGTTTATAAATTCCTGCATCTCCTGTATGTTTAGAGGAGAGATGGAGTTAGATCAAATATATAAGGAGACTTCTTTATCCACTATGGATTTCAGGCTATTCCACATAGAGCTGTTGGCATGCTAACAACTTTATGAAACATACATTTGTAAGAACTTCTTGCAGAAAACTTCTTTCAGATATTTTATTTTGTTTTATGCAGATAAATGCAGCATCAATCAACACTAGCATTAAACATGTGTTGCATGTTGAACTATTTATGTTTTCCTATAAAGGATTTATATTTTTGTAAAATCCTTATTTATAAGGAATTTATTTATTTATGACACTACATGCTAGCTGAAATCTTTTCTGCAGAGCTGTCTGCACATTAAAAAACATCAATATCAGGGGAATAAAATCAAAAGTTAACAAAAGCCATAAGAATTCAATTAAATCCATCCATCCATCCATCCATCCATCCATCCATCCATCCATCCATCCATCCATCCATCCATCCATCCATCCATCCATCCATCCATCCATCCATCCATCCATCCTCTTCTCCTTCTCCTGATTAGTCCTTTTCCTGGGTCGTGGTGGGGCTGGTGCCTATCCCCAACAGTCTACGGGTGAGAGGTGGGGTACACCATAGACAGGTCACCAGTCCGTCGCAGGGAAACACAGAGTCACACAACCATGCAAACATGCACACTTACACCTATACCTGTATAGGATTTCCTGAAAGCGCGCACCTGCGCGATCACGACGCTACGGAAGCCGGCAGACCAAACCAGCGCATTCAGCTCGGCAAAGAACTCATGCTCTTCCTCAACACTGAAGTCCTCAGACATTTTTCTTTCGTTGTTTCTTTCATTGCACAGGTAAACAGCACATTTCTTCTTCTACGCTTGCATTATTGGCAGAGCAGACGCTGAATGCGCACTTTCATCTGGTTTGGTCTTCCGTAGCGTCGTGATCGCGCAGGTGCGCGCTTTCAGGAAATCCTATATACTACTGTTTATGCTCTAAAAACATTCTAAATGACTTCGTTTCGAGTAAATTCTGGATGCTACCCACTCAGGACACTTGGAATACATTGGACAAGCAGTATGGAGGAATATTGACACGTTTTTTGTGGACTTTTATGGACCTTTCTGTCTCGGTCACCATAGACCTCCATTATTTGAATGTCAGCAGACAGCAAGAAGCCTCCCAGATCTCCAGATGCATTTGAGATATCAAAAAAGTACTCCAGGGTGTTGTTCAGCATGGGGGTGAGTAGAAAATGAAGGCTAATCATGTTTTGGGTGTACTATTCCTTTAATGGCTGATTAGGTCATAGCGCAGTGCCTTGGTCTGTTGGGATTGGAAGACTCCTTTATATGCGGCCCATAAATGCAGCCTTCTTTTCACCCGGTTGGATGGACAGGTCCAATATGTCCTCTGTAGCCTTGGGTATCCCATGGTTCATTGTGAGTCCAAGCAAGCTGGCTACTCCATTTTTGAAGGAAAAGGGGAATTGGCAATGGACAGTGGTAAATATTGTAAGTGCTGTTTAATATAATACAAGGTGTTTATCGTTTAATCTTGAATGAAAATAGTTATTTTAAATGGTAAGTAAGTCAGATAACTTGCAGGTAAGGTTTGATTTCACAGCTATTTGGCTGTGACACCATCCTGGAGAGAAATGTTAGCTGTGCTGCTGCCATCAACACCTTTGTTTATAGATCTTGGAGATCAGCTGTTTTCCAGTGTAGTCCTGTTTCTCTTGACTGTGACTGGCTGGATGTGCTCTCTGAATCCTCTGACATGGGAGCTGGCTCGGAGCTCGTCTGCCTGGCTGTGTGTTTCCTGGACGGGGCCGCCTTTTACAGTTGCTTTTTGTATCTCTGCTTCTGTCTCCTTTAACCCCAGTCGGCCTCGGCAGATGGCTGCTCACACTGAGCCTGGTTCTGCTGGAGGTTTCTTCCTTTTAAAAGGGAGTTTTTCCTCTCCACTGTTGCTACAAGCATGCTTAGTGTGAGGGATTGCATTTGAGTCAATGAGTCGATCCAATCAACTGGTTTTCCTTAGATAGAAAACTTGACTGTATGATCTGGTAATCTGTAAAGTACCAAGATCTCTGCAGTCTGGAGACTACAAATCTGATATCTGTGATGATGGTACTGCTGCTGAATCTCCTCAGGAAATGTAATTAGCACACAAAACAGTAGTAAGTAGTTTGGCATCCATTCTTTCCCATCTGTGTGGGCCTATAATTGCTTCTAGGTGACAGAGCTTATGCTGAGTGAGGGGTGGTGAAAGCTGGTGAAGGCTATACCTACTTGAAACTACAAGTGAACTCTTATGGCCTCCCTATTTTCACAGCCCCCGAAGGACAATTTTCATGTGGGCTGGGTTGTTTCGAACTCAAACAGTGACTGTCATTAATAGGCAGAGACAATGATCAATGACAATGGAATTTTACAGCTCTAATCTATTTGCTTTACATAGACTGCATAAATTGATGATGTGGAGCAGCAGTTATCCTATGCGAAGACTTTCATTTCTGCTGTGTTTAAGAATAAAGTAAAATCCCTAACAACACAGACACAGCATAAAGTTTGACATTATCACAAAGTTGTTTCATAATGTAGTAATTTTCTTACCTGGTTTATATTTCTGGAGAGTCCAACGTCAACAACGATATTTGTCTATCCAGGTCTGAGGTCCTGATCCTGCCAGTAATACGTGTACCTGTAGCTGTTGCCTGTACTTACTCCTTATGTTCTTAATTTTTGCTGTGACTGGGGCTTTTGTTATGGCAAGGACTTCATGAGGGGTAATTCTTGCCAGTAGCATCCATTAGGTACTGTTTCAAAATATTGAAGCAAATATCAAAGTATTTTCAGAATCAGAATCAGAAATACTTTAATAATCCCATAATTTTGACTTACAGGACTCAAATTACTTCCTATCTTTGTTTTTTTGGGGGGGGCTTTACTGGTTTTGCAGTAACCTGTAGCCCAGAAGTTCCATTTTGTATTTGTTCCAAATAAATTTAAATGTTCTTACTCCAGGAGTGACAGGAGTGATTCTAGTTCTTTTTGTTGCAGCACTTTCCTACACTTGCACAATATGATTATTTTAACTTCCCTTGCATCACTTACTGCAGTACCTTGCCACCAAGTTGTATGGAATGGATATTACAGTATCTTTCATGGCTTGTTCAGTTTTGGGTGGATTCATCAGTATAGTCAAACTTTAATGTGATCTGACTCATCTTTGTTTGGATGTCGCCTTAGACCTTTTTTCCTTTCAGATGCTGAAGGACTTTTATCATCTACTTCCTTTTACCTTTAGTGATGGTGGGGGAGTGTAAGGTCATTTGGAAGTTCCAAAGTAAGACACTTTGAGTAAGATTGACAATTAACGTAAAATCTAGAGATAGTTAGATATTTTCTTATCTGTATAGATAGCTATTTTCCTGAGAAACTACTGTGGCATTGCTTTAAAGCTTTATCAATTGAGCAAGTTAGATGGTAACACTGGTGATTTAGTGTCTCTCCGGATACTGTAGATAAATGCACAACATCCGGTTCTGATGTGCTTGTTTTCCCTATTAGTTTAAAAATATCTGAGTATATACTAATGAAATGTATTGATATGAACAATGAGGACTATGGCAATATGTAACTACAAAGAGTGTCTGGCGTGTATACTTGAGCTGTCTGCAGGTGACTAAACGAGTTTTCAGAAATGCTAACTTGTAATTTTGGGACACAGTGGTTTAGGAGTTAGGGGTTTTGTCCTGAAGTCTGTGAAACGAGGGTTCCAAACCCAGCTCTATCTATCTCAGCTGTCGTTTTCTTGGACAAAGTCCTTTCCTTTTCTGTTGGTGGTTTGAAGGCTTTGTAATAGCAGTTGTATTTTTAATTAATACATTTTTTTATTATGTAATTTAAAATTTCATAAAATAATGCTATTTATGTAAAGAAATCAACACTTACAGTGAGAGGGGAAATTTCAATTTTTAGTTAAATGTGCAATCTTATGTATTCAAAGTGTCAATATAACCAAGAATCCTTGAGAGTTATTAAAGCTCAGAGTAGTGTTAGAATTAACACTCTATGATTTTAATTAACACCTTTGCTATGTAGCTTGCATGTTAATTTTGTTTAAAACCTAAATGTTTCATAATACGCCACAAGGATTTGTAAACACATTGATAGTAATACTGGTGATTCATATTATGTGTGACACTTAAAGGGAAGCTACTTCACCATTGTAAGCTTTGAGTAAGCTTTATCATCGAAATAATGTTCTGTATCTATTTTTTTTTTTTACCTCATTCTTATTCCCTCAAGTTTAAATGCTTTCCTCTGTGCCTGTCTGAGCTAGGGATGGGAAACCATTCACATTTGAACCGTTGCAGAACTGATGCTTTGTACTTGGCAGTTGGTTTCTGTACTCAACCCCAAGGATAATATTCTCATTTTGGTCTCAGATTGACAATAAAGATTCTTAATTCTGCAACAAATAATCTAAAAAAAAAAAAAAGCAATTCGCTTACAAATGTCAGTGTAATGAGAATATTAATACTAATCTTAAAAGGAATACTAACTTCTGTTTGAACTAAGAAAAAAAAAAAAGGAAGAAAAAATAATTTAACTTTATTTGAAAACATGTTACAGTTTCCTATGCTATGTGACTTTAGCTATGTATCTTTCCTGGAAGCTCACTGGGAATTTATCCCAAACAGCATCCCCACACAGTCCTTCTTGATTTTTTTTGACCTCATCAGACCAAGTTATAAGTATATTTTCCAGCTTTTCATGGGCTTGTTATTATTTCGCACAGAAACAACCTTTATTATGTTTTTACTTCAGCCATTGAGTGTGCCTAGAGGCCCTTGTGTTTGTTGTTTTATGGGAATTATTTAAACAATTTTTATTGACAAAAAATGTACAGTGTTTTTGGCACTTTCACATTAATTTAATAAACTCATTGTGTTGTTCTAATAAACCCCACTCCATTACTCCATTAAAATACAATTAAATTTGTGTTTGTAACATGGGAATATGTAAACAAGTTAAAATAGTGTGAAGCGTTAGCAGAATGTTTTATGTAGAATATAGTTGAAAAGCACTTCACAATAAAAATAATTCATACACTTTAAGAAAGACTAATGAATGATTGAATGTTAAGCAAATTTTATTTATACTGAGTGTGATATAATGTTTTTGTTTTGGCAGTAAATATGTAACTTTTGTAAAGCATCCTGAAATAAAGGTCCATTAATATTTAAAACCTTTGACCTTTTAATATCCATTTACAATTCGATGGGATATAAAGATTGCTCAAATGAAAGGATTTTTTTCTAGCTTTACACATGTTAGTGGTATTGAAAATGTCTAGAAAAAACAAAAGGTAAAAAGAAAATATTACTTTCCCTTAATTTGGTAGAACAACCTCATAAGGTGTTTATAAATTTCTTTCATTTTGAAGCCATATATTATTGGATTAAATAGAGGACTACACATTATTACATACATTGTCATTACAAAGCGTAGAATCTTTGACATATCAGATGCTAGTACAACAACAATCACATCATAAGTGAGCAAGCTAGAATAGTTGATTAAAACCATCAGGTGAGGTAAACATGTCTGTGCAGCTTTTTTCCTTACTTCCCCACAACTTCTGTAGGCCACTTTAAGTATCATTGTGTAGCTGAATAAAATAAAAAGCATTGGAAGAAGACTTATATTAAATAAAACAACAGAGCAGTATACTATTAATTCCCTTGAAGCCGCGCAAAGAAGATAATTTATTGAATTGTTGCAAAACATACCTTTCAAAGTAAAACTACAGAGTTTTAAATGAGCTAATAGAATGATGGCCACAGAAATATGACAAGCAGGTACAATCCAAGCTGAAACAAGAAAACTACTCACTGTGTTTTTCTTCATAATGGTGGGATATTGCAGAGGTTTGCATATGGATACATATCTGTCATAAGACATGACTGCCAAAAGCAGGAATTCAGAACCACTTAAGGAATAAAATAAATAAGTCTGAAAGAGACACATCTGATACGTTATGATTTGTTTTTCAGATAAAAAGTCTATCAAAAGCTTTGGGTAAACTGCAGTACTAAAAAGCATAGAGTTAATCAACAAAGCAGAAATAAAAATATACATGGGCTCATGGAGGTTTTTGTGAATCACTACCAGACAAACCACCATAGCATTGCTGGACAGGATCAAAATATAACTAGTAAACATGATAATAAAGTAAACATATTTATATTTTTCAACCTCTACATAACCGGCAAGAGCTATGTATGTTACATTCATCTCAGTAAACAAGAGAGATACAGCACAATCTATTCAACTGAAAGTGTGAGACATACTGGCTACTTAAAGATCCTTCTTTTGCCACCATGGATTACAGATACTATTCCTAGAAGAGATGCCAGCATGTCAACAACTTTTAATGAGTTCAAGCGAATAGTTTGAAGTTGTTGTTCTTTACTGTCTATCAACATTTCTTTTACAGTTAAGTCTGGTATACCACATACAAATTTTGTCCATGTTTAGCTAAACCCTACTTATATACTGCGTTATTGCACATCAGTTTTATCCAATGCTCAAAATATGATGGTGTGACCATTTTAGTGTTTTACAATATTCTACATCTTTTTACCATCTTGACGGTATTTAGGTATCTAGAAAAACTAAACAAGAAAAAACTAACAAAAAAATGCTTCCCTTCTTTTAACTTATCTTACCGGGGGTTGGGGTTTGTCTGTAAGGGCCTGGTGATCAGGTTAATTCTGGTAGAACCTGGCCCTCTGTCAACTTTACTGTTAATGGCCTCAGATAATGGACTTGTATCTGTACTTGTCCCGTTAGATCTCAGTGCTGCATTTGATTAAGTTGATCATAATATTCTTTCAGTAAGACTTTAATATTTTCTGGAAATTAAAGGAGCAGCATTACAGTGGTTTAAATTGTATCTATCTGAGCGCTTTCAGTTTGTTCAAATCTTCCTCATGTTCCAGGGTTACTTCTGTAATAAAACAGGAATCAGTGGTAGGACTAGTTCTCTTAGACAGTATGGGATTCATTTCCTGAATGCTGATGATACTCAGCTATATTTATCTATAAATACAGATGAAGCTAACCCATCCATCCATCCATCCATCCATCCATCCATCCATCCATCCATCAATCCATCCATCCATCCATCCATCCATCCATCCATCCATCCATCCATCCATCCTTAGTCTCCCCCTGGGCCTCCCCCAGGTGGGACATGGCTGTAACACCTCACCAGGGAGCCATCCAGGAGTCACCCTAACCAGATGCCCGAGACACCTCAACTGGCTCCTCTCAACGTGGAGTAGCAGCGGTTATATTCTTTCAGGTTTCTACCTGTTAAAAGGGAGTTTTTCCTCTCTACCGTCGCTACCAGCATGCTTGGTGTGAAGGATTGTTTTCGTGTCAATGAGTTGATGCAATCAGCTGGTCTTCCTTAGAAAACTTTTAACCAATCTGACTCTATGATATGGTAAAATTGTCTTTGTAAAGTGCCTTGAGATGCAACATATTCTCATTATCAGTTCGTATGAAATCGTATGAAAAGTTATGCACACTATTTTGTACGTTTTGGACGTTTTTCCTCAAAAAACCAGAGCAGTACGCATGCGAAGGCAGACAGACAAAAAAAACAGATCCGCGGACAGACGTAAAACTGGGAAAAACACTGCAATAATCACTTCTTCATGTCTCTAACTACGTTGCTTGCTGTTTTATATCTTAGGGTTAGGGTCAGGGTTAGGGCTAATTGTATTTTAAATTCTATGTTCTTGAATGGTGCGTAAGATGCGCATGCGCATACGACGAAAAAAACGTCCAAAACGTACGAAATTACGGTGCATAACTTTTCGTACGACTAACCCTAACCCTAACCCTATACGAACTCATAATGAGAATACGCTGTGAGATGACATGGTTTGTGAATAGGTGCTATATAAATACACTGAATTTAATTCAATTAAATTCATAAAATTTATGGACTGATGGTTTGTAAGTAAGAGTTTAAACTGATTGCTAATGCTCAATGAGCCTGACTGAATGATCCATGTTGTGTGTTAATATCTGCTAAAAACTCCAAACTAATTCATTGCCACCCCTAAGGTAGCAAGCATTTTGTGAGTCTTCTAAAAATTCTGTTCTGGCTGGCCTTCCCCTAGAACTTGTTATCCTTTGTCAGCTCAACTTTAATGCATTCCTGAGTCATTGTTAATTTTTCAAGGCAAAACTGAGTGAAACTTCACTGTTTTGGCTGCATTTACTGTCTCAGTTTTAGTGTCATTCACATGTATCTCCTGCTAATTTAAAATTAATCTTGAATGCATTAACCCATAAAACTTGAACATTCCTCAGAGACTTTTAAATGGACTCATGCTTAATTTCAGTAGTGTTTAGTGTTTGCATAGAGCTACGCATTTTTACAAGCTATCTACAATGCAGACCAAAAGTTTGGACACACCTTCTCATTCAAAGAGTTTTCTTTATTTTCCTGACTATAAAAATTGTAGATTCACACTGAGGCACCGAAACTATGAATTAGCACATGTGGACTTATATACTTAACAAAAAATTGTGAAACAACTGAAAATATGCCTTATATTCTAGGTTCTGTAAAGTAGCCACCTTTCGCTTTGATTACTGCTTCGGACACTCTTGGCAATCTCTTGATGAGCTTCAAGAGGTAGTCTCCTGAAATAGTTTTCACTTCACAGGTGTCCCCTCTCAGGTTTAAAAAGTGGAATTTCTTGCCTTAAAAATGGGGTTGGGACCATCAGTTGTGTTGCGCAGAAGTCAGGTGTATACAGGTCCTACTGAATAGACTGCTAGAATTTGTATTATGGCAAGAAAAAAGCAGCTAAGTAAAGAAAAACAAGTGGCTATCATTACTTTAAGAAATGAAGGTCATTCAGTCCGAAAAATTGACAAAACTTTGAAAGTGTCCTCATGTGCATTCACAAAAACCATCAAGCGCTATAAAGAAACTGGCTGACATTCGGACCGCCCCATGAAAGGAAGACCAAGAGTCGCCTCTGCTGCAGAGGATAAGTTCATCAGAGTCACCAGCCTCAGAAAAAACAGTTTAACAGCAGCCCAGATTAGAGACCAGGTCAATGCCACACAGAGTTCTAGCAGCAGAGACATCTCTAACAACTGTTAAGAGGAGACTGTGTGAATTAGGCCTTCATGGTAAAATCGCTGCTAGGAAACCACTGCTAAGGACAGGCAACAAGCAGCAGAGACTTGCTTGGGCTAAAGAACACAAGGAATGGACATTAGACCAGTAGAAATCTGTTCTTTGGTCTGATGAGTCCAAATTTGAGATCTTTGGTTCCAACCATTGTGTCTTTGTGCGAAGCACAAAAGGTGAACAGATGGACACCACGTGCCTTGTTCCCATCGTGAAGCATGGGAGAGGAGGTGTGATGGTGTGGGGGTGTTTTGCTAGTGACACTGTTTAGGATTTAATCAAAATTGAAGGCATACTGAACTAGCATGGCTACCACAGCATCTTGCAGCTGCATGCTATTCCATCCGGTTTGCGTTTAGTTTGACCATCATTTATTTTTCAACAGGACAAAGACCCCAAACACACCTCCAGGCTGTGTAAGGGCTATTTGTTTGACCAAGAAGGAGAGTAATGGGGTGTTGCGCCAGATTACCTGGCCTCCACAATCACCGGACCTGAACCCAATCGAGATGGTTTGAGGTGAGCTGGACCGCAGAGTGAAGGCAAAAGGGCCATCATGTGCTAAGCATCTCTGGAAACTCCTTCAAGAGTATTGAAAGACCATTTCAGGTGACTACCTCTTGAAGCTCACTAAGGGAATGCCAGTGTGCGAAGCAGTAATCAAAGCAAAAAGTGGCTACTTTGAAGAACCTAGAATATAAGACATATTTTCAATTGTTTCACACTTTTTTGTTAAGTATATAATTCCACGTGTTAATTCATAGTTTTGATGCCTTCACTGTGAATCTTAAATTTTCATAGTCATGAAAATAAAGAAAACTCTTATAATGAGAGGGTGTGTCCAAACTTTTGGTCTGTACTATATATTTTGTGCTATAAAATGAACCAAATAGTTTTGCATATTATTTTTCTTTTTTTCCAAAAAGGCTTCCGTAGCATCCGTCTACAGGGCACAACGTCTCCAGTTTATAAAACTGTGATCTAGACAAAACTAATTGATGGTACTCTGTCTTTTTTATTTAATATATACTTTCTTTCAAAGTGAAGTCTAGAGTTAGTTTGAAAATTAATTTAATCTAAACTTTGTGAAAAAATGTTTGTACATAATTGTTATGTTCATTTCTATTTCAATTCAGTTTATTTATATACGGTAGTGCCAATTCATTCCATGTCGAGGCACTTTAAAGAGACAATTCAACCTGATCATACAGTCAAACTGATTAAATTCTATCTAAGGAAAACCATTTGATTGTAATGACTCATTGACTGGTAGGGACATTAAAAAACTCCCTTTTAACAAGTAGAAATCTCCAGCAGAACCAGGCTCAATGTGAGCGGCCATCTAGCGATGTTTAGTGTAATTGCTTTTCTTAAATACATTCATTTCTAAATTCATTTTTCTTTGTATTGCCTCCATATTTATTTGTAGATTAAAAGTAATTACAGATATCCGCCATCAACTACAGTTCCAATATTAGGATTTTATAATTAGTCATTTTGATATAAAAAACATGGATTTAGAGAGTTCTGATTAAGCACAAGAATATTATTGTAATAACACAGGACGAAGGACCCAGAATTGAAGGCGAGAGAGACAGTGATTACTTAAAAGGCATTTATTGACACCGATGCAGAGCTGTGGATCTGCTGCAGCTCAAGTAGGGAGGGGCACCGCCCATCACTGAAAACTCTGGTTTATCAATGCAGTCCATCTCCTTAGAGCAAGGTAGGATCCAGCTGGTGGACTGCCAACAAGATGCGGCTTGCACCGCCCAGAGTGTCCCTAGATGCTGCAGGCCCAGAGAACAAGCAGGAACAGATCAGGGAAACAGATCAGAACAGGAACCTTCACAGATCCAGGAGTCCGTAGCCCAGTCAGGGATTCTGATCAGAACAGGAACAGGCTGCTTCAGGGTCCCAAGAGTCCAAAAAGAGCTTTCAGGCAGAACATTCGGATCGGAACGGGCAAGCCCAGTGGAATATCAGGGCAGGATATCAGGCAAACTACGGTACACTAAAAACTCACTATCTCCACTGAGCCAAGACAGGAACAGGACATGCTCAGTCAATAAGAGGCAGAACATGATCAGGAAAACAGGAACACCACGAAACACCAAAACCCTCTCTCACCACTGGCCCAAAGAAAAAGGAACATGAACTAGAGATTCAACAACAAACTCAAAATCAGTGATCTGGCCCAGATAGCTGAAAGTGAACCGTATATAAAGAAGCAAACAATTACCTTTTACATATATATTTGAAACCAATAGGAGAACCATATATTTCAGAAAATTAGACAGATTTTTATTGCATGGACATAATACAAAGGCAAACTACACTGGACAGGATGTTTTTTTCTTTCAAATCAGTTATTCTTTCTTAAACATACAACTCAGCAGACTGCATTTGCACATAATTTTTTATGGTCAGTGAATATTCAGTGTTTTGGTGGTAAATATTCTAATAATTAACAATAATTAGAAATGTATTTAGAGTAACAGGCAAAACAATAAAAGCACAAATGATAGAAAAACCTTTTTATATGACATTTATAGAACAATCTTTTAAACTCTTATAAACTGGCATTAATTATCTAATCACTATTATGAAGATATATTAAACAAATAAGATAGAACATGTAACATTTGATTTTTTTTGTTTGTTTTTAGATTAAATCAAACTACGGACAAACAAAGGTTAATCTTTGTGGGAATTGAAAAAAATTCCTGTTCACCCATCAAACTACATAAATGATAAAGGGATAAAAAACCCTTAACTTCCTCTAGCATGACAACATAACCTTCTAAGGTGTTTATAAATTTCTTTCATTTTCAGTCCATATATGATTGGATTAAATAGTGGGCTGCATATTATCACTTGCATTGTCATTAAGAAACGCACAGTCTTGGAAATATCAGACTCCAGTCTAACAACAATCACATCAGAAGTGACCAAACTAGAATAGTTGATTATAACAAACAGGTGAGGTAAACATGTCTGTGCAGCTTTTTTCCTCACTTCCCCACAACTTCTATAGGCCACTAATAGTATCATTGTGTAGGTGAATAGTATGAAAAACAACGGAAGAAGACTCATATTAAACAGAACTACTATGCCATATACGTATCATTACTGCTCTTGAAAAAACACAAAATAATCTATTTATAGAATTATTGCAATAAATACCTCTCAAACTAAAGTTACAGAGTTTTAAATGAGTAAATATAATAATGGCCACAACAATATGACTGGCAGGTACAAGCCAAGCTAGAAAAAGAAAAATACTCACTTTTGTTTTTCTCATGATGGTTGGATATTGCAGAGGTTTACAGATGGACACATATCTGTCATAAGCCATGGCTGCTAACAGCAAGAATTCAGAACCACTTAGGGAATAGAATAAAAAACTCTGCAAGAGACAGACTGGAAAAGTTATTATCTGTTTTTCAGATAAAAAGTCTATCAAAAGCTTTGGGTAAACTGTAGTACTAAAAAGCATTGAGTTAATTAACAAAGCAGCAATAAATATATACATGGGCTCATGGAGGTTTTTGTGAATCATTATCAAGTAAACAACCATTGCACTGCTGGACAGGATCAAAATGTAAACAGTAAACATGAGAACAAAGTAAACATATCTGTATTTTTCAACCTCAATATGTCCATCAAGACTGATGTATGTCACATTCATTTCAGTAAGGAATGAAACTAAAAGAACAGAAATGAATAAATCAGAAAAGCAAAATGCTTTAAAGTGCTACACACGAGGAAAGAAATCTCATAGCCGCTCTCTTTCATTTACAGCAACACAATTCCAACTCCACAGTGTTTGAACCAGAGTAGGTTTTTAAATATTCCTGTTCATCCATTAGGGATTTCAGAGATGTTTTACTTTGGAGAGATGATGCACTGAAAATTATCTTACTTCTTAATTGGTGTTATTTCTTAATAACGCAGCACTTTAAAAAAGTAAAGAACTCTTTGTTTAGATAGCATAGAAAATATTTGAGAGAAGAGGGAATTAACTTTTACCTTTTCCACTGATTTTGGACCCGGTTGATGACTCATATATTTTTTATATGACAACCTTCCCAGTAATGAAATTCATTGGAGTTATCTGAATAAGCAGTTCAGCTTCTTTAGGATAAAAAATATCAGGATTTTGATGGAGCAACGTTCTTTTCACAAAGTGATAGGAATCAAGGTAGAAGCTCACAGAGAGAATTAGTGCTTTTTACATCCCGAACAGGCCTTTTACTTAAAGTATTTTTACATCAACTTCTTTTTGCAGATAAACAGCCTAAAAAGTGCCAAACAGCCTTAAATGGGCCAATACTCAAGTTGTTCTACCAGAACTATGGGGCCACCTCTTTGTTGGTTTTTTTGGAGAACTTCTGGGAGGAATAGCAGCTTCTAGGACTTTATTTCAGAATCACTTTGAGCTGTCGGGGTAGACCATTACGATAGCACAGAAAAAGCAGGGCTACAGAAGTAGTTGTACTTGTACAGGTGTAGCCCGAAATCACTCTCCATCCTACCCAGTGTCATGGCAAGAATCATTCAAACACTGGTTTGGATTAAGATCTACCTTAATGTATAGTACACCAGTTTATAGGGTTAATGTACCAGCACACAGCTGACTTTGTCACTATGTAGGGAGATTGGGGATGTCTTTCAAATTTTTTACAATTGTCCAAATTCCTAAAAAAAAAAATATTGATTGGGAAAAAAAATGCTTTAACATCAGGACCAGGCTTAAAGTCTAGATAAATAAAACAATTTACTTATCACCCTGTATCTTATTCTATTCCAAAGTTTTTATTTTGTTTTGTACTCAATCAAAAGTTCACCTGTATAACAAAAAGCATGGTATTGGTTGTCACACCGCAGGGTTGGTTGACCGAATGTTACAGTATCTTAAATAGACATCATGTAAGTTTTTACTGTAAGATATCTTTAAAATAGCCTTTGTGTTTGAACCTTTACTACTAAAACATCATTTGATTAGCAGAATGACACCTCTGTAGTTCTGATGCCTCTATAAACCTGTAGCCTATTTCGCTGAATTCACTTTTTTTCAGAAGTTCCTGAGCTTTTTCTGCTGATGTGTCGTCAAGGGCATCAATGTTAAATGGGTCTGCCCAAGCAAACATTTAAAACGTTATACTCAAGATGGATTCTGAGGATACTCAGAAGCGACCGGCAACCAGCTCAACTCAGACAACAATGGCAACTCCACATTAGGGAAAAAAAACGGAAGCACGGACTATGAGAATGAGGAGTGCTTCAGTTCTATGTGTTGGCCACAGGAGGGAGTATTAGAAAACTCCGCAGTGTCTCATTAATGGCAGGGAAGCAAAGACAACCAATCTTTAGTTTAACTTTTAGATATTTAATATTGCTCTAATTATACATATGTTTCTTATTTTGAAAAGTAAGATAATTTTAGATTTCAATAAAAAAAACTTCAAAACTCACTCAAAAATCAATTAGAATTAAATTCAAACTTGTGGTGAAAATAGCTTTAAAGTGGTGAAATATCCTATTGTTTAAGTTGTTAATTTTTAATTAGTGTTGCACCAATACCGCTACCAGTATTGGGTGGGGCCCCAATCCAGCACTCAGAGAGTACCAACAAATAGAGCAACGATACCATTTGAGAGCCATAAGTTTATTCAACTATTGTCACCCATTCCAGATAGGCAGTAAAACGTTCTACTGGATCCACTTTATTAGTTCGTCTATTTTCTGCTTCACAAAGGTCGGAATCAGCTTGACAAAGCCATGATGGCAATTATTTTACATCCAAGTAGTATGCAGTTCCTCATATATACACACATCCATTTCAAACAGATGGTATTGGTATCGGCCAATACTGCACAGCAAGGTATCGGGTATCAGGGTCAAAAAATGGCAACACTAGTTTAAATATTAGTTCATATTAGTCCATTCAGTTTCCATAAAATGGAAATTGATTTACAGTTTATCGATGTATTTAAGAAAGGATGTAAAAAAAAAAAAGTTTCCTAATAGACAGTAGATTAGTTAATCAAGAATTTTTACTGTTGATACAGAAAACAACAAGTGTAACATGCAGGATTCCTTTGTATAATTTCCTTATGTCAGGGAGATAATTGGAGCAAGTAAGTGGGGTATGTGGAAAAAGAATGCCATTTTCTTTGCCCATCAAATGATAAGAGCGATCCATGATTGCCAAGAGGAAGCAGACATGGTGTGTTCTTGGTGCATCTGGTGTGTGATTGCATCGGGCCCGTAGTTGACGCCACAAAAAATGGCAGTACGATGCTCCCTGTGGAGGATATAGCACAAGAAGGGTTGATTAGTAGTCCCTTCTCCCCAGAGGTCAAAGGTCCAACCTGCTTGTAGCCTTTTGTAGTTAAAACTTTATTAGTTTATAAAGAGTTTTGACACCCATTTCATCCATATTCCTATTGGATTGGGGTTCAAGCTTGGAACTTTTCTAAAACATCTTGCAGGGTGTTTTGGAATAAATGTACATTCTCCATATTTAATGCACTGGCTACACTTGTAGCTTCAGGGTCCTAATTTGATAAAACCAGATTTCTGTCCATCAATCCACTGAAATAATGGGCTTCCCCCATATTGTGTTTTCCAACAGTTCTTTCAAATGGGTATTTCAGATTAAAGGACAGAACTTTAATCGGTTTTCTAACATTCATCGGAGAATGTCCGATGTAAATAACTGATCTCATGAGGTAGTAATCCAACAATTCCTTTTCCTGCTCTGCCTTTAAAACTTGACCAAACATGACCAATTACCATGAAGCATCATTTTCAGTTTTCACAACCTTGTTATTACTTAGTTCCTGCAGTATCTGGCTAATATCCGGTAGTTTACTTGGTATGTTTTGGTTCTGCCCCTCATTGTTTTATTTTGCAATTTCATAGCAACATTTTCATAGCAATACACATTTTGCTAATAGCTAAGCTTAAAGCTAGCAAAGAAAAACAAACTCTTTTTCTTCTAGCCTATACTTTTTTTCTTTATATGTATTCTTATTATTTTAAGCTCCAAATATTATTTTCAATGCATTTGATATTTTGTCTCAGTAAATTAGAAAAACAATTGTGTTTTACCAAAAAATTACTGGTTCTCTCACCACTATTGAAAATCTTTTCCCACCAATGAACCTCTTGCAGAAATAGCTTAGCTGTAAACCAGAAATAGTGGTGAAAGTTGTATATATATATATATATATATATATATATATATATATATATATATATATATATATATATATATATATATATATATATACACAACTGTACCTCCCAGGAAAAACAGGCCGTACAATTTATACTTTATTTTTAGTAAAGGCCTTTAATGAACAGCTGTATGCATGGCATTAATTCATACAATAAACAGGTTTATATTTATCTCTAATTGCATTTGAGACTTCTAGATGACTTGCAGAGATGCAAATCTTTACTTTCTCCCACATAAAACACAAAAACTATTTTTGAAAAGAGCATGAATTATGTATTTGTCATGTTTAATGCTGGTATACTGAATTAGAATCAGAATCCAGTTTATTGGCAAGTAGGTTTGCACTTACATGGAACTTGACTTGGTGTTGATAGTGCAGACTATATATATATATATATATATATATATATATATATATATATATATATATATATATATATATATATATATATATATATATATATATATATATACAGGTGCTGGTCATAAAATTAGAATATCATGAAAAAGTAGATTGATTTCAGTAATTCCATTTAAAAAGTGAAACTTGTATATTATATTCATACATTACATACAAACTCATATATTTCAGATGTTTATTTTGTTTAATTTTGATGATTACAAATGACAACAAATGAAAATCTCAAATTCATCATATCAGAAAATTAGAATATTACTGAAGACCAATAAAAACAAAGGATTTATAGAAATGTTGGCCAACTGAAAAGTATGAACATGAAAAGTATGAGCATGTACAGCACTCAGTATTTAGTTGGGCCTCCTTTGGCCTGTATTACTGCAGCAATGCGGCGTGGCATGGAGTCGATCAGTCTGTGGCACTGCTCAGGTGTTATGATAGCCCAGGTTGCTCAAATAGTGGCTTTTAGCTCTTCTGAATTGTTGGGTCTGGTGTATTGCATCTTCTTCTTCACAATACCCCATAGATTTTCTATGGGGTTCCATAGATTTTCTATGGGGTTAAGGTCAGGAGAGTTTGCTGGCCAATTAAGAACAGGGATACCATGGTCCTTCAACCAGGTACTGGTAGCTTTGGCACTGTGTGCAGGTGCCAAGTCATGTTGGAAAATGAAATCTGCATCTCCAAAAAGTTGGTCAGCTGCAGGAAGCATGAAGTGCTCTAAAACTTCCTGGTATGTGGCTGCGTTGACCCTGGACCTCAGAAAACACAATGGACCAACACTAGCAGATGACATGGCACCCCAAACCATCACTGACTGTGGAAACTTTACACTGGACTTCAAGCAACGTGGATGAAGTGCCTCTCTTCTTTTCCTCCAGACTCTGGGACCTTGATTTCCAAAGGAAATGCAAAATTTACTTTCATCAGAGAACATGACTTTGGACCACTCACCAGCAGTCCAGTCCTGTTTCTCTTTAGCCCAGGCAAGACGCTTCTGACGCTGTCTGTGGTTCAAGAGTGGCTTGACACAAGGAATGCGACAGCAGAAACCCATGTCTTTCATACGTCTGTGTGTGGTGGTTCTTGAAGCACTCACTCCAGCTGCAGTCCACTCTTTGTGAATCTCCCCCACATTT